ATCAGTTCAGATTTCTGTAATATCTATTTGTGGGTCTAGGCTATGTTCACGCAGTGTTCAGATGTGCAGACTAGTACAAATCCTGCCCCAATTTGATCAACAATAGTGCTTTTACTCCAATTGTTGAGGTAGTAGCTACTAATGCAGGACTCCACATGAATGACACCTCTAGATGGTCACCTATGATCTGGAAGCTACCTATATCAGCCTATACCTGTATGCGTGTTCTACATGGGGCTCAACCTATATAGGGAACCAAAGTTATCAGAAAGTCGAGGCTCATGCAGCAGCTATGAGGGGCATCTGTCTAGGCTAGAGGGGTCAATCAAGGTAAGCATTAAGGGAGGGCATAGCATGTCAAATGTCGAGCGTCCAGCTCCAATGACCTGGCTGATCGTGAATAGTAAGTAATATCCAATATGGCGACCAGGTCTGTCTGATGAAGGGCCATGTCGCGGGCGACTTTCTCTTGATATCCGCAGCAACGGCTGATCGGAGGTTCTCCAGGACGAGCGAGCGGAGCGCGGTGAAGGTAGGGGGCTTCTGCTGAAATAAGAGTGTCGTGCGGAGGGCCCAGACYGCTCCCAAGAAGTCCGCTYGAATGACATCTATCGCGTAGGCTCTGCAGTTGTGGACCGGGGAAGGCAGGAGATCGGGGCCGATCAATAAGCAGTCTTCCCAGTCGGAGGGGGTCATACTGTCAGCGTCCCCCCCGATTTCTTGTCTCCACCACGTCCAAAATTGCTGCTGAGGAGAGCAGTGTATCCAGATGTGGGGGGCGTCCTCAGGGGTCCTCCCACAATGTGGGCATGCAATATCCGAGAATTCAGATCGCTTCGCGAGCCAYTGCCGTGTCGGAAGAGCCAGGTGAGCATTTAACYAGAGGAGGCCAGCATGCTYTTGGTTYGGCAAAGCTTGGAGGCGGATATTCGTGGCTTTCCATGAGCTGGCTGTCCATCCTTTCGCAAGGTCTTCCCTCAACCATCCTCGCTTAGCCCAGCGATACTTGAGCTCCCGATCTGCGCGATAAGGGGTCAGCAGGGACCGATAAATAATTTTAGTGTGCACTTGCTGGAGCGACAGTGGGCGTTTTTGCAGTCCTTGCGGCTTCCAGGTCCACATCGCGGGGTCGAATGGCAGTTGTGAGGGCCGTAATTCCG